TGCTTGGCTGGCTGCAAGGCCAGGTCTTCCAGGTTGGGAGCGAGCGGCAGCGGGAAGAGCCTCCTGGGTCCCACGGAGACTAGCTCTGAGGTGAGAAGCTGGGTGTGAGCGCGGCGGGGGCTGGAGGGCAGGCAGCCCCTCCAAGTGTCTTCTGCAGGTTGTCCACACCTCTCAGAGCATGCTGGTGTTTACAGCTGGTTGCCGTGGTGAGTCCTAAATATTAACCCATGTCCCACAGTCCTCGCTCGAACAAGAAGGGTTATCGCAATGTGGGCTGGCACAGCCGCCGGGGAGCTTTCCCCCGAGGCAGGGGCAGACAGGAGCCCAGACCCACAGATCCAGCAGTCTCAGGTGGGCACAGAAAGGGCACAGGCACCTGGAGAGGCACAGCCCTTGCTTTCTCTCCCTCCTTGGAAATGACTCGTAAGCGAGGCTGAGGCGGGGGAGTAAAATCAGTGCCTGCCCTCTGGTGAGCTGTGGACAGGTGGCTCTTTGCTAGAGAGAAAACAAAGGCAAGGAATCAACTGGTCAGCCAGGAGCCCAAATCACAGGGCACGTGCTTCTGGACTGACTCCGATCCCAAGAATAAAGTCTGCTTGTGGCTCAAAAGCAGCACTTCACTCAGCTAGAGGTTTAGATAAAGCACTCGTGGATAAGAGGTGGGGGCAGGAGGGAGGCAAGGAGGGGACTTTTTTTTTTTTCTATTTATGTTAAACTATTCTATAACTATTTTAAAACTTTTTTTTATTATTATTATAGTCCCTCATGGACAGCATGGCTTTGTTTATTTTTATGTGGTGCTAAGGATGGAAACCAGGGCCTCACGCATGCCAGGCAAGTGCTCTGCCACAGAGCCACAGACTCAGCCTGATTCTGTAACTATCTTTTATGGCAAATTGAGAATTTTTTTTTTTTTTAGAAGAAAACACGATCCTTCATCTCCTGGTGGTTCTGGCCTGGCTGTTTAGATGCTTGGTCACCCCCTGGTGGCTGCTGGCCATAATTGCAGGCAAAGCGCCTGAGCTTGGGGAGCAGGTCTGAAGAGTGTCTGAATGTGGCTCGACCAGGGAGGCGGAGGGCCACAGCATGGGAGCCGCTACAGCTGAGCTTCTCCATTTTCCCGGAAAACCTTATAAAGAGAGGCCCAAGAGCTCAATGGGTAAGGGTTGGGGGTGTCCTACCAAAGCCAAAGCAGCTACAGGTCCAGGGTGGAAACAAGATGGAGGAGAACCCAAGAGTGTTAACAGAGGGCTGGGGCAGGCCTGCCCAGTGGAATTTCCTTCAGCCATAGAAATGTGATACGCTGTACCAGCCAGCATGGCTACTGAGGACTCCGGACGGGGGCAGTGTGACTGAGGAATCAAATTTTAGGGTTAGTTTAATTACTTTCAATTTAAATAGCCAGATGTGGCATGTGGCTGTCGTATTGGACACAGCAGGAAGGAAGGGATCAAAGAAGTGTATGTTCAGAGCCCTCGACCAGGTGTGATGAGGTAGGCAGCTAGGCATCATCCTGTTGCTATTCACGTTCTAAGCAGGGAGCAAAGAGGAAGGCAGAGCCCCTCACCTCGAGACACTGTCGTTCCATAGGAGGGAACTACGGGACTCCTGGGGGTTGGGGACCCCACACCTGGACACCCACTGTGGGAGAAGAGTCCCTGATTGAGAGGATGCGGGTCTTTCTGGGCAGCGCTCTCAGTGGGCAACTATAATGGTTGGTGTTGTCAGTACTGCTCTAGGGTCAGGGTCTACAGGGGCTAAACAACGTCGCCTTTCGAGTTTCACATCAAAGCAAGGTTGGCTCACCAGGTCTGACAGCAAGTGGGAGGAAGGGACTAGTGTGCCGTTCAGATTTCAAGGGGCCTAAGGTGGCCTGAGAACTCACAGTTGTGCAACTTGTTCCATTAGTTCTCCCAGGGTCTCCCTTTCTTGTGAGAATGTGTTTTGCTGAACAAATAAATTTAGAAAACATTATTTTTAAGGGTCTTTTTAGTTGTAGATGGACAAAATGCCTTTATTTTATTTATTTGTTTTTATGTGGTGCTGAGGATCAAGCCCAGTGCCTCACATGTGTGAGGCAAGCACTCTACCCAGCCCCCTAGAGAGTGTTATTTTTTAAAAAGAGATGTTCAATTCTAGTCCTGAAAAGTCCTGGGACTCAGTTTTTCCCCTGGTGTTGTCAGGGGCCAGGAGCAAAGCCAGCCAAGCAGCAGAGGACACCTGGACAGAGGTGCATCCCCCGGGATAGGGATGCAGACCCGCAGGAGGGGTCAGCAGTCCTGGGGGATCCCTGTGTCTAGTTGTTTCATTTTAGTTTTTTCAGTTCTAAGATATATTAGCATTAATAAGAATCTATATTTGTATGATGATGAATTTGCAAGATCTCCTGATCTTTCCTTAGGCTTCATAGCATCCTCCTGGGAGCTGTGGCAGGATGGAAAGGGAGAGGGGAGAGACTGGACGCCTCACCTGGCCAGCATCTGCAGTCCTCAGCACAGTCACGCTGTGCAGGGACAGGTCAGTCAGTGAGGACACATGCTGACGGTACCTATGGCTCACAGCAGGCTCACAGGCCAGGTATGTGCGCTGAGCCTGCGCCTTCTGATGAACCTCTGAGTGTCCCCATAGTCAGCTGACACGTGGTGTCCCCAAAGTTAGCTGGCACGTGCACACGTTCCTCAACTGCCATTAAGTTTTGGGGAAACACACACGAGTGCGTGCACACACACACACAACTGCCCTCACTCCTCATGCTTCAAGGAGTTAAGTCTGAGTCCCAGGAAAGGTGCAGAGTGAGCTGTTTCACCCTAGTCACCTGAACTCCTGGCTCTGCAACCTGTGCAGGGCCAGCCCCTTAAAAATCACCTGGGGAACTTGTTAAAATAGAGACACACCTGAGCACGGCCTGAGAGTCTCATTCAGCGCATCTGAGAATCTACTACAAAATAAAACAAAGCTTCGAGGTGATTTGGACATGAACGCCAGGTTTGGACTGGCTGGTGAGTCACCGACCTCTGACCCTGCCTGGCATGATCCACTGTTGTTATGGAAGCCACCGATGGGCACCCCAGCCGCCATGAGTTTTGGATTTGACTACTTTGTTGTTGTTTTTTTTAAGTACACATCTGTTTCAAAAGCAGAGGGCCTTGTTTTTGGAAGACAGACATTTTCTTCTCTGCAGATATTCACATGTAGAGAAGCGGTGAAGCTCCCACAGAGCAGAGCACACTCTCCTCTGAACCAGACTCCTCTGCGTCAGTCCACCTGGAAGGAGACAGAGGGGTTCTCTCCAGAGCTCAGTCCCAGATGAGCTGTTGGAGGTGCCTGGCTGGGGAAGCTGTGGGCCCTGAACCCCCCTGGTGGTCTGGGGACAGCAGTACCCATCCAGGGTGGCACAAGGCTCTGGCAACTCCGGCTTGAGGCAGACCTGAAAGGACAGTCCTGTGGAAGTCACCAGCAGGAAAGAACCTACATACATTAAGCCAGGTGGCCAGTGACCTACAACGCCCCCACACTGCGCCACATTCACACTCTGAACTGAGCACAGCCATGCCCGTCTTCCTTCCGAGAGACCAGAAGAGGTGAGAGGAGGACCAGGAGGGGCTTTGTGGCTTCCCGGTGCAAAGCCATCCTAATGTGTTGAGAATGTAACGATTCCTTGAAGTTCTCTTTTCTTTCGACGCCGGCTGCACTGGGGATCCAGGGCCTTCCTGGGTCCTGACGGATCTCCTTGGGACACCGCCCAGAACTCCCCTTGCAAAGCCACTCATGGGCTCTTTCACCGTGTTGGCAGTGTGGGCAGCTTTAACAGGAGGGCGGGCAGGGCCCTGTGGGGACCGGCTGTGTGCGGTAGATGCCTCCCTGCAGTCTGTGTCACAGAAGGAGCCGGTCACGTGTGGACGGCCACCCTGCGGTTCTCCTCCCAGCCTGCCTGCAGCGCTCCTTGGCCTCAGGCAGAGGTGCTTTTAAAGAGCCACAGCCTCTGCGCCCAGTCCCATGAACCTGCCAGTGCTTCTGCCTGGCACGGGGCATGGCCAGCTTAGCCTCAGACCTGCCCGCATTCTCACCACCCTCCTGCCCGCACTCGGCACCTCCATCCTGCCCGCACTCGGCACCTCATCCTGCCGTGCACCCATGGAGCACAGTCTCCACCCTCCCACAGCTGCACACCCGTCCCCAGCCCTGCCACCCCATGGGAGACCAGAGCACCCCTCTGCTAAGACAGCCACCTCCTGTCCACGCATCTCCCCCAACACACAGCAGCTGTTTCTCCCGCTGCCAGCTGACGGCAGACCTCGAGCCCCCACCTGGGCTCCCGGGAAGGGGCTGTCACCCGGAAACGCTGGGGCCACATGCCAAATTTACTCCTAGAGGACATATTGGGTGGATTAATTGTTCAGGTCTGAGGACATGAAGAGCAGCTGACACAATGACCAAGAGGAATGACAGTGAAGGAGAGAAGGAGCCAGGAAGGGGCAGAGAGGGCTCTTGATGAGGGCGGGGGTGGGGGGCACGTGGGTGACATCGCCGTCCCACGGATGGGCTCCTCCACGCACTCTTCCTTGCCAGGCTCACCCGTCCCCGTCACGTGGGGACCCGCAGCTCACCCTGGGCCCTGGGCTCCTTCTCCTGCATTTGCTGGGCCACAGGAGCGGGGAGACCGCCCCTTGCTCAGGTGGTCTGTGAAGCCGTCCACTGGAGTCCAGGTGGCACCCTGTGCACCCTGGAGCTGAGGGACGTGCCCTCCTGTCTGCCCCCCAGGCCTCCCCAGCTCCCAGCAGGTGAGGGCCCTTACCCCGGGGCCGGCTGGGACCTCAGGGCTCAGGGTATGGTCCAAGTCCTGTGGACATGGGTGGTGGGTATGAAAGATGGCGGGATTCACCCGTCAGATTCTCAAAGGACCCCAGAAGGACAAGGAGCCCTGACACCCTGAGCCTGCCCCACCTGGCACCTGTTTGGAGCAGGGCGGGCTGGGGCCCAGGTAGCAGGCAGCATGGTACCTTGGAAGCAGCCATGACAGCGGCTGTGGCTGCCACGTTCAAGCCGCGCTTCCCGAAGTGCACGAGGGCATCGTAGCTCTTGTCTTTCGCCTGGACCAGGCAGTCATCAATTTCCTGTCAGAGGGAAGACGGGTGCGCTGAGCAGGCAGCTGCGGCCACCTCCTGCCCTCCCAGCTCCCAGGCTGGCAGCTCCCCGTGGGATTCTCACTGGCCCAAGAGCCACCGGTACCGCCGTGGGCTGTGCAGACCACAGGGACACGGGCGAGGGGCGGGGAGTGGGCAGAGACCAGCCCGGGGCTGGCCCAGTAGGGCCCGGGATTGTGAAGTCCCTGCCTCCTGGACGCGGCTGCTCCAGAAGCCACGGCCAGAAGCTGGGGCAGACTCCCACCCCACCCTGCAGACCATGGCTGCAAGGCCGCCACAGTCTCCTGGGGAAAAGGGACAATCATGACACGGAACCCGTGGCTCAATAGGCCTGGCCGAGATCATTCCGTAAGCATCACATGGAGCTGGATTTGTAGGTGGAAATGTGGTCTGCTGACCCCTGCAGGTGGCCCTGGGGTCCTGCTGTTCTGTTGAGGTCTATGAGCCAGCGTGGCCGAGTGTGTGGGGACAGGAGGGTTAGGATGAAGAAGGAAACGGGTGCTACTTATTGACCAGGGTGACTGTTTCACAGATTCCAGAGCAAAAGCAGAACCAGAAGGGCGCTGGTGCCCTTCAACAAGGCAAAGGTGAGGGACCGGCTGAGGTCTCCTCCACACAAAGCCAAGGGCGGCACTGGTTTCTTGGCTGGTTTTGGGTTGCTTGAGGCTCAGGAGCTCATCTCAGAGCTCAGCCAGATGATGACACCTGGCCTCAGGCTGGCTCAAAGCCCAGCATGCAGTGTTTCTGTGCTCAGAGGGAGTGGGCTCCCAGGAAGTCCCGCGGCCCCACCTTGCCATCCCCCAGAAGTGACTCAGCACCTCTTGAGAGGCAGGGCCCTGCACTTGGAAATCAGGCTGCAGGGGAGGCCCAGCGCTGGGGGAGGGGGAGGACGAGCAGGACTAGAGGCCAGGTCCAGATGGATCCACTCCCCTAATCCCCCTTAGGGGACTGAGGAACAGTGCTCCACTCCTACAGAGCTTCCAGAAACTTCCACAGCAGCCTGTTCAGCCACTGCCTGGCCTCCGCTCAGAGTTCCCCAGGAGGGAGCACAGGGCTCTCCACCTCCAGAGGCTGTGGGGAGCAGCTCCCAGCCACCCACGGGGCTCCTATTGTATTTTTGTGGTCCTGAAAATTGAACCAGCAGGGGTCACATCCCCAGCCCTTTTTACTTTTTATTTTGAGGCAGGGTTTCCCTAAGTTGCTGAAGCTGGCCTTGAGCTTGCAACCCTCCTGCCTCAGCCTCCCAAGTTGCTAGGATTACAGATGTGTGCCATGGAGCCTGTTCTATTAGAAAATAATAAAACCAATGAATTACACAATATTGGACTCCTTTGGCCCGATAATCCTGCCCTTGGGATCTTACTCCAAGATGGAGAAGGAACCACACTGTGCACCTGGTGATGTCCACTGCAGAATCACTTTCCCCAGGAAAAGATGAGACGGTGTGGGCAGTGGTAAGGGACAGTCCCACTATGGCGGGCACTGTTGAGACACTGTGGACGTGTATCATGTGCAAACACATCAGAGACCTCAGAACATAAATACTGCTACTCATGTCGAGGGGTTTGATTTTGCTTGGAGGCTGGGCCTCAAGCTCCTGGGCTCAGGAACCTCCTGCCTCTGTCTCCCACGTGTGGGTGGCACACACACACCCCCTACTCCCAGCTTGTGTTTTAAAAGTCTTTTCAAAAAGGATTCCATGTAAAATTGTAAAGTTACATTAAAATCCCATCTGCAGAAGGAGAGGGCCAACCACGGCCAAGGGGAGGGGCTTCAGCTGGGGGCAGTGAACTGCAATGGATGTTTTACTTTTCATTTTAATTGATGGAAATGTTACAATCCATAATGATAAATAACATCTGTATAGTATTTCACCACTACTCCTAACATGTCCAAAATCATACTTGAAAAAAAAAAAGAAATCAGCCGGGCGCAGTGGCGCAGGCCTGTGACCCCAGCGACTCGGAGCCCGGGGCCTCTTCCTGGTTTCAGAAGCGCCTACCCCTTCGCAGGATAGCCTTGCCTCCTGCCTGTCGGCTCTCAGGGCTTCTGACCAGTCCTTAGGTGTTCCACCTCCAGGGGCCACCTGGCTCCCTTCTCTTGTCCTGGATCTGAGAGCAAAGGCTCGCAGCCTTCCCCACTCATATGACACTGCCTGCGAGTCTGCTTAGATGGCCTTTGTCATGATGAAGTTTTTACCATGAAGGTATGTGGGATCTTGTCAAACGCTTCTTCCTGTACCTGTTGAGATGATCATATAGCTTCTATCCTTCATTTTGTTGCTCACAAAAGCTAAGCTATGGAACAAACCTCATCTAGGAAGAATCAATAAAGAGAATGTGGTACACATACACAATGGAATATTATTCAGCCTTAAAAAAAAATGTGTTGCAGCTAAGTGGAGGAACTGGAGGATGGTGTGTTACGTGAACTAAGTCAGACACAGGAAGACAAGCACCTCATGTTCTGCCTCATAGGTGGCTGCTGAACACAGCCATCTGAATGTAGGACAGAGACCGGGGTGGAGGCAAGTGGGAAGCTGGGTTCAGATGCACAGGTAGGAGTAAACGCTATTGTTCTGTGGCAGGTGGGGCGACTGCAGTTCACAATGGCCCTGGTATATTTTAGGAAGAGCCAGGAGAGGAGCTGAAAGGCTCAGAGGCTGAGTAATGCTCAGGGGGTAGAAACGCTCACCACCCTGGCTGATCATTGCACACTGCATCCAGGTGTTGAGTTCTACGCTGTCTCCCACTCGTGGCACAATTAAGTAATAATAATAAGTAAACAATTAAAAAAAAAAAAAACAAAGTGTTACAGAAACAATTTAAAAAGGGATTAGTAGGAACAGCTTATCGGGCTCCAGGAACCCAGCAAAGGGGCTCCTGCAACCTGGTGCTCTGCCCCTCGAACTGGCCCTGTCCTCGTCCTCCACTCCCGGGACGCACATTACCTTCTCTTTCGAAGACAGCGTGGGGTGCACGAACTTCCTGTACAGGAGGCTGGAGCCTTTTGTGTAGGGGGACAGCAGCCAGGCCACAAACGCGATTTTCAGTTCATAGTAGAATGGGAACCTGGGGAGACGAGAAGACGCGCCTCCATTAGGCTCCCAGCAACTCCAGGCTGGGCACATGGACACCTCAGCCCACATGGGGAGGCCAGTCCCAGCTCCTCCTCTGCCCACGAAAGGCCTGCACACATGCACCCATGGCTCAGTCTCTTGGGTCATGAGCCCTCCATGGGCTGCATGTGGGTCACCGCACATCGAGCCTAGTGGATGGGAACATCTGGTGTCTGGGAATGACCAGTGGACATTCTCTCTCGTCAATTGCCCAGGGACAGTGTGAATTTCTATTCTGCTCTGCGGGGGCCCACACAGCACCTGAGACGGGTGTGACCTGCTGAGATGCCAATCAACCTGCTGACTGACATCACGAAGCAAGACTCGCTTTTGGAACCTTGCCCCTGCCCTTGATGTCCCCCTTAAATAACCCTCCAGAGCCATCTTTCCTTGGTCTCATTCCAGCACCCACAGGGACTGGATATATAGGGCTCCACTTTCATAAATGTATTTCTGACTCTTTGTATTTTGTTCTTCACTAATTATTTTAGACTTCTAGTTTCCAGGTGGTTTACGCCCTCCTCCTGTTCTAGGGATCTCTGAGCATAACTGACGTCTTCCTTCCTGACAGTCATCTCCATGTCTCTGCGGCACACCACACCTGATTAGAACAAAACATGATGCTATGTTGGGGTCACCTGTTACAGTCTGAGGGGTCAGAAAGGTAAGTCCTCCCCAGGTACCGGCTCAGGTAGGGGAGCCCCCATGAGCCACACCCCACCCCTTATTTTATTTTGAGACAGGGTCTCACTAAGTTGCTGAGACTGGCCTTGAACTTGCAATCCTCCTGCCTCAGCCTCCCGGGATGCTGGGATTATAGGTGTGCACCACCAAAAAGGAACAATTCCTAACAAGTCGCTTTAGGCTCTGCTCACACAGAATACCCACCCCAATCTGCAGCTCCGCCTTCTCTTCCTTTCCTCACCAAGGTCCCGACCCCTCTACTTTCTATAAGGTCTTCCAGAATATTCCCTCAGCAACGAGGGGGCACTTTCCTGGCAGGATTGTTTCATGTTTCTCGCCCAGAAAAGGGAGGCTTTGAAAGAACAGCGTGACCACCTCCCTCATGTCCACCTCCCCCCCACCTCCCCCGTGACCACCTCCCCCCGACCCCCCCACCTCCCCCTGACCACCTCCCCAGGAGTGCCCTGGTGATCAACAATGGAGGAACCTTGGAAAACAGTCTTTGCAGGCCCAGGGAGAGCCGGTGAGTCTGAGCTCAAGCACCACAGAGGTCACATAGCAGCCCAGGGGCACCTATAACGCTGCAGCTCTTTCATTTATTATGTAAAAGAAGTAGGTCAGGCAGCACAAAGCTAAAACCAAGCCAAAGGCCCAGGAGTGTAGGAGGAAGAGTCTCCTCCCACCAGACCCCTAGACCCCATCCCTTGACCCTTTCCTAAGTGAGAACATCCCCTGCTAGTGCATCTTTTGGGGGACGGTGCTGGGCGACACAATCACAGGTGCGAAGACTCCCTTACCTGCCCTCCAGGAGCCCTCAGCCTTCCATATGCCCCCTTCTACACCGCACCCCAGCAAGCACAGTGGACAGAGGCCCTGGGGCGCCTCACACAGCCCTGTCTCAATGGCTGCCCCCAGGCCCCGAGATGGACGGTCTTGGGGTGGCCGGGTCTACAGAGAAGCTGCGAGCATGCCTCCTGTGCTTTATGTTTTTTTAATGGGATTGAACCAGGGGCACTTTACCACTGGGCCACATCCTCAGTCCTAATTTTTATATATATATATATATATATATATATATATATTTCCCCATTTTTAAATTTGTTTTAATTAGTTACACATGACAATACAATGATCTTGACATCATACATTTGAATCAGATGGGAAATAATTTTTTCATTTTTCTGAGTGTACAGGTTATATATATATATATATATATATATATATATATATATATATATATATTTTTTTTTTTAAATGTTTATTTATTTTTTAGTTGTAGTTACACCCAATACCTCTATTTATATGTGGTGCTGAGGATCGAACCCAGGGCCTCACACATGCTAGGTGAGCGCTCTACCACGGAGACACAGCCCCAGCCCCCCTAATTATATTTTGAGGTCTCCCCAAGTTGCCCAGGCTGGCCTGGAACTTGTGGTCCTCCTGTCTCAGCCTCCCTAGCGGCTGGGATTACAGGTGTGCACCACCATGCCTGGCTGGTGTGTGCTTCTTTACACACCACGTGAATGCATGTGCAGCCCGAACGCCCGGAAGAGGAACTTCTGCATGAGCTTTGTAGTCAGAGGAGACCCCTCCGTGTAGCTACGAGGAAGAGCACCTGATTCCCACAGCCACGCCCTCATGGTATATGGCCAACCCTAAGAGCCTGTGCCTAGGCTGCGAGATTAGGGCCTGTGGGACAAGACTGCAAAGTGCTTTTGAGCTGCTCAGGCCCCGTTTATTCCCTTTCAAAACACATTCTCACTTGTGTGTGTGTCCCAGCCCTTTAACCATAAACAGGATACTAGGCACCACTCACAGCCCCTTCACCTAAGATACAACACATCAATGCAAAGAACTGATGATTTTTAATTATTCCATTGCTAAGCATAGCTGTATTGCTTATAAAATAGGAACCAAATTAAATATCCACCAAAAAGACATTAGTAGCAGAGTGCAATCCTCTTACCTCAGCCTCCGTAGCTGCTGGGGTGACTGGTGAGCACCACTGCGTCCCCTGTTCCTTTTTTCTTTTCTTTTGACATATAAAAATCCTCTACCCAGTGCATTAATTGGGGGAACTGGGCCTGTATTGCCCGTATCCCTAGCAGCTTGGACAACACTTGCTCTTGAAGGTCATTCAATAAATATATACTTGAAGAACAAATTTTATAGACCTCATCATCAAAAGTAATCCAATTAACAGGCCTGCACCTGCGCCAAGGTTTGGATTTCAGCCCTGACTTCCCTTCCCTCCCCTCCTCCCGCCTCCCACCAGGCAAAACTATCCTGGAAATGTCTCCATTCCCAGAGTCCTTACCAGCACAGGAAGATATCTGTGAATGTCTCTGCCGTGGTGAAAAGTGCGAATATGATCCAGTACATCATCCACTTGACCTGCAGGGAGACAGCACAGAGCTAGGAGAAAGGGCAGGTGTTGGTGGCGCCCAGGTGGCCCCTGTCCACTCCCCGCCCCTCCCAGCTCACGTCCAGCTGTACTCCATACGCTGGGGCTAGAAATGGGGCCTACAAATGGCCCTCCCACAGCCGGCCAGGCTCAAGGTCAGATCCGACCCTGTTAGACCCTGGCGGCCTTTCGTAGCCTCAGGTGAGCAGGGAGAGACCAGGAGTGACCAGGCTACAGCCTGGCCCTTGTGCTAGGACTACCATCTGGCGATCCAACACTATAGCCTCCACAGTGATGCCCCAGGATGGACCTGTACCAGGCCAAGCATCCTCAAGGGTCATTTAGAACCCTTTCTTGTGGGCAGGCCCCAGGGCCACCTGCAAGACTGTTCAAGTCCCTCCCTGGTGGCGTCCTTTCTCTCTCCTCTGCCCCTCTCCCTCTCTCTTGAACTCCTGCAAAATGCCCCTGAGTGCTCCTTTGCCAGCTGGCTCCCCTGTGGCCCCTTCCCCTTCAGCCCTGTGCAGTGGCCAGGGCTGGGCTGACCTCCTGACAGCCGTTGCTGAGCCTCAGCAAAACCCTTCAAAACCACTACTTGAAGGTTCCCGAGCAAAGAGGCAGAGGCAGAGAGGAGGGGCCAGCCCTGGGGGAGCCGTGAGGGAGAGCCCCCCTGGAACTCCTGAGGACAATCCAGGCCGAGGCCGGGGACTCAGCAGCCTGTTGGGTGTAGACTGGAGAATGGAGTGTGAGGCCCAGAGTTGCCAGAGTGGAGAGGAGGAAATCCCAGAGTCGGGAGGCCCCCAAGTCTACATTTAATGCGCCTTCAAATCCTTGGCCGGCTCTTGAGTGGCACAGAACCAATGAGACTCCGAAATGTTTACTTTGGCATTAAAGAAACAAGCAAATCAACAGAAAGCTGAAGGAGTTGGGCAGGAATTCTGTTTCTCTTCACTGCAGGAGAAGCACGCGTGGAGTTCAAGTCCTGTCTCACTGAGGGACCTAGGCAATATTTTGGAAGCTCTCCTGAGACATCTGGGGGCCAACTTTAGGAATAAAATTTACATGTCAGCACTAAGGGATCAGCTCTCGGACTAAAGGCAGAACTGAAATACAGGTAAGATCTGACCCAGGGTGGAGGGGCCGAGTCACACCTGGACTGCCTGCTTGGCACACTCACTTTCCACAAGAGGGCAACAGACAGCTGAGTTTCTACCGTGTGTCCTACATAAAGCCCAGCACAATAAAAATCCCCACGGGCAAAGGGACAGGAAGATACAGTCCCCAATATGAGAAGAAGTGTCCACAGAAACAGATCCATAGATGACCTAGATGTTAAAACTGGCAGGAAGCTTTTAAAAATATAAGAAAAGAGAAAAAGGAAGAGAAGGTACAAAGGGCCCCTATTTATCAAAAAAGCTGAATCGATAAGGAATAAGTCTGGGCAGGGCCATCAGGCAATGGTATACACACACACAGCATGCGCGAGGCCTGGGCTCCGTCCCAGCACCAGGAGACAGAGACAAGACAAACAAAACGCCACAGCACAGCAGCACAACAGAACAGAGAGTGAACCTCACAACCACGGTGACGAACAACCTAATAACAACTGAGGTGACAGGTTGTTACAGGTAAGAACTGCCCCAGGGTGGAGGGGCCCTGTCACATCTGGACTGCCTGCTTGGCACACTCACTGTCCACAAGAGGGCAACGGACAGCCACGTATGAGTACAACCGCGGTGGCAGACAACCTAAAAACCATGGTGACAACCTAACAACCACGGTGACAGACAATCTAACAACCGCGGTGACAGACAACTTAACAACCATGGTGACAACCCAACAACCACGGTGACTGACAATCTAACAACCATGGTGACTGACAATCTAACAACCATGGTGACAGACAAACTAACAACCACGGTGACAGACAACCTAACAACCACAGTGATGAGTGCTCTCGGCAAAATGGGGAGAGGGAACCTGCCCACCTTGATAACAAAATATCTACCAAAAGAAAGAGAGAAAGTCCTGTGACAAACCCATCCCCGAGGTTGAGGAAACAGGCCGTGGCCCTCAAGACCCAGGGACAAGCGAGGCTTTCTCCCCTGCCACTTTCAGGCCATGTCATCATGGAAGTCCTTGGGAATGCCACAGGTTCTGTAGGAAACAGAGAGCTGTCGGGAACCCTCCAGGACTAGGGCGCTGAGGGATGGGTCGGGACACTGTGCACTCCCCTCGCCTCCCCATGCAGCAAGGAGCAAGGGCAGGGCCAGGAAAACAAGGCCATCTACCCTCTCCCTGAGTCCCTTGGGAACACAGCTAAGGACACCTGTTGAAAGGAAGTCCACATGAGGAAAGTTAGACACCCCGATGAGAAACCAGGCAAACGCCAGGAAGACCAGTGGCGGGAAATCCCTTCCTGGACAGTGGTCAGCCAGGCTTCTACAGCTTACCTGCCCTCCCATCAGCCGGCCTGTCCCCCGCCTGCAGGGCACATGGCACCCCCTGAGCACAGGGTTTCCACCCCATAATTCTTAAAGGGGTTCCAGGGATGCTGGTGGCCTCACCCCTGAAAAGCCCCAAAGGCCAAACTGTCCGGTGTCCCTCTGCCTGACTGGCCGCTTCTCGGGCTCTCCACCCCTTGCTGGGGGCTTTCTAGACCCCTGGCCTACCTTAGACCAGGCACCCTCCACCTCCAGCTCCCCCTGACCCCATCTTCTCCCCACCCACTGACTGGCCTCACTTCAGACCTGTCTAGAGCGCGGCTGCCCCTCATGCTCTGCCCCGTCCTCCTTTCCACCCTGCCCTCTCACTCCAGGCACAGTGACCTGATCCCAGATGGGCGATCCTCTGGCCTAGCTCAACCCTCCAGTGGTTCCTTGTTGTGAAAAAACCCAAACTCCTTGCATTGGTTCTGAAAAGCACTGACGGCCCCGGCCTCTTGCTCCAGGCTCCCGCTGCACCCCGCCCACGCCCACCCACTCCACTTCCCTGAAGAGTGCCGCCTTCTGTCTCCAGGTTCACCTCTGGCCTCAGCCTCAGCTTCTAGGAAGTGCCTGGAGCCCAGGTGGCCTGTCCCTCCCCAAGTGCCCCTCTGGCCGTCCAGTGCTCACTGAGCCTTGCGAAGGTGCCTGCTGCTGCTCTGCTGCTCTGTGGACAGAACTCCCCGAGGTGGCCAGCAGCCCTTCTCGCAAGTAGTTATGTCCCCAGCGCCTGCCCACTCCTCTGGCTCCTGGCACACAACGGGCACTGGGTGGACATGATTTTGATGTGGGTGTTGTGGGTGGGAAAGAAAAGATGGCTCCCAAAGGTGCACAGGGGGTCGGCATACTGGGAAACACGTCCAAACGGCTTTTGGAGAAGAAGATAGCTTGGGAGGTGACCCATGCTCCCTGCCAGGGCCCCTGCCCATGGCTGTGAGATACCCGCCAAAGCCGGGCACCAGTGACAGACGGACACAGTACCACCCAACAGAAGGCGAAGAAAGCCAATTAGGGAGAAGGGCAAAGGATGGACTGAGCATCCAGAGGACACCCAGGGGGCCCAACAGGCTCCCGGAGGACAGACAAAGCAGGGAGGCCGAGCCCCCAGAAACGAGGAGCCATGGGGGGCTGTCAGCCTGGAGAAGCTCCCATCATGGCCCCCCACCTTAAAATGCTTCCCCCAAACAGGACCTGAGGGGTCGCACACAGCCCGACAGGGTGCCCTGGAGATGGGAATCGTGTTCGCCTGTGACCACAAGGAAACGGGTTCCCCAGTGGGCACTCCTGATGCTCGGGCCTCCATGGCCTCACTGACAGTAGGTGGGCCCCTCCCAGGGACTGACAGCATGTAGAAGTAGCAAGACTCGTCCCGTGTGCACCCTCCACACACAAGAGCTCGTCTAGGGCCATCCTCTCCACTGCCTCCATGGGGTGTTCACCAGTGGAGCCCGTGTCCCCAGCCACCGCCACTGGGGCCAAGCACCAGCTGACACGGCTCCCAGTTGGTCCTCGGCCTGCCTCCCTCTACCTTCCCACAGAGCCTCATGGAGGGGGCCACACCCAGGCCCCCCAAGCACAGGGGCCAGGGGCTCAGGGAGGGCCCTTCTCAGTGTTGTACCCCACTCGCTGCTTCTCGTCAGGGGCCTCCTCTGAGCACAGAGATGGGGTGACAAGGTGACGCTCTGGGGAGCCTCCGCTCTTGTGCACCGCACAGCATGGCCCTGAGGTGGGGAGCCCCACAGAATGCTCGGCCACTGCTGGGTGGGCGTGCTGTCCTGGGTGCACTTCTTCTCTGACTCTGTCACCGACACATGGCCCTGCTTCCTAGCCAGGGCCTCCAGGCTCAGGAACCAAGCAGCTAGGGCAGCCTGTCTCCTAGTTCAGCCCAATGGCAACTCCTCGCGGCTCACAGAGCCACACCACCAGCACCGCCTCGGAGTGCCTCCGACGTGAGAGTGTGCCACCCACCGGGACCCTCTGGACCAGGGCTGGCATCTGATGGGATCCTGCTCATGCACACAGGCTGAGGTCCAGCTTACCCATGGCACTCTTGCCCTCACCTCCAAATCTCTGACACTGCTTTTCAATGGCTTTATTACCTGAGAGGTGGCTGCATCCACCAGGAATACGAGATGGTTCCAACAAAATGTCACCTGGCCACCTCAAGACACTCACTGGAATATAGATACAGGGCAACCTGCAGGCTTCAATGCAGTGACAATCCTGATTGTCAGGGGGACCAGGGTAGAGGGACCGGGGGTCCACTGTGGGGGCTCCCTGCACTGTTCCCAATGGAGGTAAAAGTGATGGCTCATTGCTGAACCCTGCAGAGGCGAGATCACAAGGCCTTCGTTCTCACAGTGTGCACAGAGAGCCCTCTCACCAAGTGCCAACCAAGGCCACTCGGGCATGAATAGGGTGACAGAAGAGGGAAGGGCCAGGGGAACCCAGGGAGGGGAAGGCATGGATTCTGTGGAGTGCGGGGTGCCCAGCACGAGCCTTGAGCATCCTGATTCTGCAGGGATCTGGCGTGTTAACCGGAGCCCCTGAGCCACTTTACACCCTATGGGTTACCACATAATTAAGGATTTCAGGAAAATCTTCAATATGCCCTTATTTTCATTTGTCTGAGAGTCATGATTCACCCTTTAGAAATCATCTTGAACACTAGATTCCAACACTGCTGTAATCTCCTGACCAGCTTCGGGAGGACGGACTGCAGCGTTTACCTTCTCCCTTCCCGTGTTCTGCATCACTTAGTGATCCTAACTCGTGTACTTTGTGCTCTCTCCCACAGGGCGCTGGCCATTCGGACACAGGGGAGGAGGGTGTGGCGCACAGCTCCCCAGGACACCCATACCCAAGCCCTACGCGGGAAGGGTGTCCTCAGCCCCAGGTAATCACATGTCCTTAGAAGAGGAGAAGCGTCCTGGCTGGTCAGAGGGAGAAGGGATGTGGCAGAGCGCCCAGGGACATGGGAGGCTGGCTCTGGAGTGGGGACTACAGCCAAGGGTGCAGGTGGCCTCCAGGAGGTTTGGAGGCTGGACCCAGGCTTCCTGCAGAGTCTGCCAAGGAGGCAGCCTGCCTGACAAGGCCCAGAAGAGGCTGTGCCTGCAGACCCTGCAGGGGGTCCCTGGTGACCTGCCACCTGACAGGGAAAAGGAGACCACTGAGCCCTGCAGGGACTTGGGAGGGGCTCTGCTGAGCCTGGGAGCAGGGAGCAGGAAGAGCTGGAGAGGCCAGGGCAGCCCAGGGAGTGTGACCAGCAGGGATCAGGAGGAAGTGGAGAGGGCCAGGGCAGCCCAGGGACAGTCACCAGCAGGGAGCAGGAGGAGCAGGAGAGGCC